ATCACACGAAAGAGAAAATCTGCGGCTTTAAATGAGGAAGACCGCACTTTAACAGGAAATTTCTGGGAGTTTTCAGGATTTTTTTAGAAACTAAATCGAAGCTGTCGTTCGACAACACAGATATTTTCCAAAATTCGCCAAGGAAAAACCAAAAATTCTTGCATGCGGCCGTTAGCATCACTCGAAAGAGAAAATCTGCGGCTTTAAATGAGGAAGATCGCACTTTCACAGGAAATTTCTGGGAGTTTTCAGGATTTTTTCAGAAACTAAACCGTTCGACAACACGAATTTTTCTAAAATTCGCCAAGAAAAAACCAAAAATTCTTTCATGCGGCCCTTAGTATCACTCGAAAGAGAAAATCTGTGGCTTTAAATGAGGAAGACCGCACTTTAACAGGAAATTTCTGGGAGTTTTCAGGATTTTTTTAGAAACTAAAACGAAGCTGTCGTTTGACAACACGGATTTTTCCAAAATTCGCCAAGGAAAAACCAAGAATTCTTGCATGCGGCCCTTAACATCGCACGAAAGAGAAAATATGCGGCTTTAAATGAGGAAGACCGCACTTTAACAGACAATTTCTGCGAGTTTTTAGGATTTTTAATTAGCAACTAAATCGAAGCGGTTGTTCGATAACACGGATGTTTCAAAAATTCGCCTAGGAAAAACCAAAAATTCTTGAATGCAGCCCATAACATCACACGAGAGAGAAAATCTGCGGCTTTAAATGAGGAAGACCACACTTTAACAGACAATTTCTGGGAGTTTTCAGGATTTTTTTAAAAACTAAATCGAAGCGGTCGTTTAACAACACGGATTTTTCCAAAATTCGTCAAGGAAAAAATAATTCTTGAATCCGGCCCATAGCATCGCACGAGAGAGAAAATCTGCGGCTTTAAATGAGGAAGACCGCACTTTAACAGACAATTTCTGGGAGTTTTTAAGATTTTTTTAGCAACTAAATCGAAGCGGTTGTTCGCTAACACGGATTTTTCAAAAATTCGCTTAGGAAAAACCAAAAATTCTTGCATGCGGCCCATAGCATCACACGAGAGAGAAAATCTGCGGCTTTAAATGAAGAAGACCGCACTTTAACAGGAAATTTCTGGGAGTTTTCAGGATTTTTTCAGAAACTGAATCGTAGCGGTCGTTCGAGAACACGGATTTTTCCACTATTCGCCAAGGAAGAACAAAAAATTCTTGAATGCGGCCCATAACATCACTCGAAAGAGAAAATCTGCGGCTTTAAATGAGGAAGACCGCACTTTAACAGGAAATTTCTGGCAGTTTTCAGAATTTTTTCAGAAACTGAATCGAAGCGGTCGTTCAACAACACGGATTTTTCCAAAATTTGCCAAGGAAAAACCAAAAATTCTTGCATGCGGCCCTTAGCATCACTCGAAGGAGATAATCTGCGGCTTTAAATGAGGAAGACCGCAATTTAACAGGAAATTTCTGGAAGTTTTCTGGATTTTTTCAGAAACTGAATCGGAGCGGTCGTTCGACAACACGGATTTTTCCAAAATTCGCCTAGGAAAAACCAAAAATTCTTGAATGCAGCCCATAACATCACACGAAAGAGAAAATCTGCGGCTTTAAATGAGGAAGACCGCAATTTAACAGGAAATTTCTGGGAGTTTTCAGGATTTTTTCAGAAACTGAATCGAAGTGGTTGTTCGACAACACGGATTTTTCAAAAACTCGCCAAGGAAAAACCAAAAATTTTACAATTTGCGTTCTATGAATATGCACACCCTTAGCTCGCGCCTTGCCAATGCTTCATTGTCTTGAAACCCGAGTTTGTTGTCGTACAAGAGATTAAATGACAACAATACTGTGATTAAATTCAATTCCCCTGCAACTAATTGCGATCTGTAAAGTTCGCATCTCAGTCCGATGCAACAAACAGGGAAACCGTGTTGTATTATTCATTACTCTTGTAATGTGGCACATAAAGTTGATGCGAAGCCATACAGGGATCACAAGGGAGCCAAATTACACTGTTAATTTTCCTTAAGAGTTGCCTCGCATTTGGCTGGCTAGTTTTTGAACAGGCTGTGATATGTGAGCTAATTAAACTTTGCCTTTAACTGAGAATTTCCAAATAAACAAATAAACAGTCTGGCTTTGACTGGAATAGTTTTTCTACTCAATTCTTCGAATTATTAGCCCACAAGAATTGCAAACAATTGCCAAAAATTAACATATTGTAAGCAACCTGGGAAAACGGAGCACCACGGTGAGAGTGGCAACACTGGTAGGCGGGCCACACCCTGGAGGGGAGTGACAACATCGGGGCTACTTCATGGGTGGGACAAGTGACGGCGCGGCGGTACTTCCGGGCAACAACACAGCAACATCCGTGGGGGAAAAACAACTGCTGGCGTTGCCACGGGAGAAGGATTATTATTGATTTTATGGTGACGGTGCAGGGCGTTCATTAAAATTATTGAATTTTGCATCGATCGTATTCTTCCTTAAATTTAACCCTAAGAATATGTTTTAATTTGATGGCAAATTAGTGAAATTTACCCCATCGTCTGGACCCACTGAAGCCCGCAAGACCCAAAGTTGATTTTCCATATACGGTTTCAGTGCGACTGCAAATTGCAAATTGCTTTCCATAGTTTGCCGGATCATTTTCCGCTCGGGATCTCAATCAGTCAATAACGACTTGTTTGCATCGGCAATGTGCGGCCCATAAAAATTGCAGGAATTATGTGATCCATCTTAGTGGCGATGGTTTTCCCATTTCCACTTATTTGGCTCTAACGTGCATAGATCGATTTCATATGTGAACACGTCTTCAATAAGCAGCAACTCCACTATTCGGGCAAGCTTAATGTGAAAAATGACGGCGATAAGGGAGATTATTTGTCTTCATTTCGCTTTGGTGCTGCCGACATCGAGCTGCCAAAACCCCGATTTAAATTCCCACATATTATGAAGCCATCTACAAATTCAAAGTAAGTCACAGTTTTACAAATTATTGACAAGGACTCTCCACCTGTAACTATCTGTTAATGCCAAAAAACATCATTGCCGCTGTGCCTTTTCATCAAAAAATTGTAGAAGAGAACTTTTTTGATATCAAAAATGTTCGTAATTTGAAGCAAAGATCGTAATTTTTCTTGTTGAATGCTTAAGTATTCCAATATGCTGCCAATTAAACATGGAACAATTTCCAAATAATGCTTAATAACAAAGTTGAAATTCGATCTTCAACTGTTAATGTCTTCTAGAAATTTTCGAAAAGGCATTTTTCAATATTTAGTACTGTACGTACTTTATGTTGCAGTATTTTGTTTTGTTTTTTTACTCGCTTTGTCCATAAAATTTGTGAATTTTTCCGTGGCAATAAAGCATATTTTAGTTTGATTGGATTTAAAAACCCAGAAGAAGAAGAACTGAAAGAAGATATTTTAAGTTGTTTCTTGCTGGCGATTAAAAGTTAGGGACTTTTAAAGCGAAGGCGCACTTGCGATTGAATACTGATTATTAACGCAATTTTTGCAATGTTGGCAGATGTCAGGATTTATTTCAATTTGACAAAACTTTTGAAGATTTTCTGTCTCGCGATTCTGGAAAATGTCCGAATTTGCTTTCAACTGAATAAAATTTCGCGAAATTTTAGGGTAAAAGATCTGCAATAGATCATGAAAAGTTCAAGTATGTCCAATAATAATCATCGACATTCGGAATGTTGACAAAGCTGACAATTTTTTTGGATTCGAATAAAATCTTGCGGACAATAAGCTTAAGCTTTCTTCGATAGATGCTGAAAATTTCAAAGGTGTTACTTGTTCGTGCTTAAAAGTTAGGAAGTTGCGAAAAAAGCTGGCATTTGTAATGCTGGCAAATGTTTGCAGTTGCTGTGATTTAATTAAAATTACAACAGCGTGAAGTCGAACTTATAGTGTATAAATTATGAAAATTTCATCTGTGTTCTAGCATAAAGTTAAAAGTTACACATTTTTAAATGTGAATGTGTATGTTTGACAAATCGAAATCGGCATTTGCAATGTTGGAGAAAATCAGTTTTTATCGCCATTTCGCTGTAATTGTGACACCTTTGAGTATCAAATGTCTTCTAGGAACTCTAAAAACTTGAAGTTGCTAGTTGCATTAACTTAAGAGTTAGGAATTTTTAAATGCAAGCGTGCACTTGCGGTAGAACATTGATTATCAGGGCAGCATTTGCAATGTTGGAAAATCAGAGAATTTGTTTCGATTCGGACAAAATGTCGACCACAATCAGACCGAAATCTCGTCTATAATTGGTCAAAACTTCAAGTTGCTACTCGGGCGACTTTAAAACTTAGGAGGTTTCAAAGGCGAGTGGGCCTTTGTGACAGAACACTGATTATTAGTCCGGCATTTGCAATGTTGGCAAATTTTGGAATTTCCCTTGATTTAAAGCCATTTTTGGAAACTGGAAGAATCGTGCATCGTCTATAGATGGTCAAAAGCTTGTACTTGTCTGCAAATAAAAGTTGCAAATTTTTGAAGGCGAGTGCGCATTTGTAATAAATTAGCTCCACATTTGCAATGTTGGTAAAGGTCAGAATTGGTCTCGATTCAACTGCACTTTTGACAACTTTCAGGCCCGAATGTCTTCTATAAATGATGAAAAGCTCAACTTGTTAGCTGATTTCAATTAAAAGATAGATGCGAATTTTTAAAGCGACTCTGCACTTGCGGTGGATCATTGATCATCAGTCCGGCCTTTGGCATGTTGGAAAACTTTTCCATTTGCTTCGATTTAAATGAAATTACATGCACTTTAAGATCAAAACATTGTCTCTAGATGGTGAAAATTTCAAGTGTGTACTTGTATGCAATTAAAAGTTGGACATTTTCAAAGGCTAGTGTGCATTTGCGACAAATTAGTCCGGCATTTGCAATGTTGGCAAAGTTCTGTTCTTCTCGCCACTTTCCTATAATTTTGATCGCTTTCAGCTTCAGATGTCTTCTATAAACCCTCAGATTGAGGTCAACTTACCATAGAAAAAAGGGCATCCAGCAGGCTAAAAAGGCCGAAACAATGATTCCTAAAGTCCGGGCAGCCTTTCTCTCTCTCCGCATTTTGCTGCTGGTGCCCGGATCGGAAGCGGCAGTCGCGTTGCTCTTCTCCGTCTCCAGACTGCCGTCCAGCGATTGTCTGAGCGACGTGATTCCGGCCGAAATCCCGTTGATCTGCAGGTGCTTGTTGAGCAGCGCTGCAGCCACTTTGCTCCTGCAACGAACCGAATCTTGCGTTACAAAAATACATTTAACGGGTGTTGAGGTACAGAAATGGTGGGAAGCACAGCGAACTCAAGCACATGAACATGAGGCAACAACAAGCACAAACAGGTTCAGACCTTAGTTTGATGGAGTTGTTCGGTGTATATTTGAAAGAGCTAGTGGAATATTTGTATCGAATTGAGTCTGATTGAGTGGAGCGCAACGATGGTGACGTTCTGCTGGATTTTGAGGATTTCAACGAGCTGGACTTCCGTTTCGTTATTTCCGGATTAATTTCCGCCACCTCGTCGATGCCAGACGAGATGCCATTGATCTGTAGGTGGTCGTTTAAGAGGGCGCCGGCCACTTTGTTTCTGAAAATAGAGCAAATTGAACATTTTAACAGCGAAAAGTCGTTTCAAACTCCGCCGTTTATTGCTAGGCAAAGCTTGTCCCGAGCGGGACATAAAACCCTTTTTTATTCCAGCCAGGTACAAACAGACACATACGCAGACAAACAGACATTGTGAAGATCGCTGGAGGGCAAAAGTGAAAAGTTGTGTTTCGCCCTCGCTAAAATTCAAGTTTTACACCCTTCGGTCTCGGTAAACAAGCCGGTCGAATGTCGCTATCTTTGGCTTTTCTTACGGGTCATTCATGCACGAGTAACGTTTTCCAGGTGTTGTTTTGATCCTATTAGGGCCAATTTATGCTGTTTTATTGCCCAGCTTTGAAAACACCGCCAAAGTTCGTCTCGTGGGTTTTTTGCACTAAATTCTCCAAATTAGCTGGGCAAAATCTCCCAGATTTCGTTTCGGCAATATTCATATCGGCAAGCTTTTACAGGGTTATTGCTGGCGTATAAACACTGGCTGCAGCTTCCACTTTGCGACGTATTTTTCCCTGCAGAGCTTTCGACTTTCGGGGATTTGCTCAAGACGTATTTACCGAGCAAATATAGCGAACGGCAGCTGGGCGTTCCAAGATGTTTAGTGAATGATTGGCCAATATAGTTTTTAAGCAAAAGTTTTCAGCTTCAAGGCAACAGAATTCCTAAAAATGTTCACAGCTGGAATATTTCGAAAGTTAGTCGACTTTTTGGGAGGAATTGGAAATCAACCCAGCCTGAATTTTATGGAGCGTTGAAAACATTTGAAAAATTCTCAGTTTTCTTCTTTTTTGTTTGCAGTTGCACCAAAAAGTGCAGGCTTAAATCTGAACAACTTCATAAATTTAGTGTGCGCCTGATAAATATTCTGAAAAACCAGTTGTTCTTTTCTGTTTTATGCGAATATTATATGCGATATTCCCCTATTGAAACTAATGGGTTTTTCGGGTTTTTAGGCCGTCGTTCGGTATAATTTCTTCCTGACGTTTCGCAAGCACGTGTAAGCGTTCAAGCAAACCACTTCTGAAGATGTAAGCCACTCGTGCTTGCGAAACGTTAGGAACAAATTCTACCGCACGACGGCCTAAAAACCCGAAAAACCCATTAGTTTCAAGGAATGGCCTCGAAAGTCTATCTCTTTTGATATTTCCTTATTCTTTGGTTCAACTCTTTTTGTTCTAAGTTTTTCCATGTTTCTTGCATAATTTTATTTTTGCTTTTAGTATCTTTTACTGACTTTTTTCCAAATGAGTTTTGCGGGTTTATTCGATTTTTCCACATTAATCAGCACGGATAATGAGTTAAAGGAGACAATGAAGCTTCAAAAGTGAGACTAGTTAAAAAAAATTGTAAAAATAACTTGCAGTCCATCGAAGTCAAGRTTSATTCTTTTGTCCAAGAGGGTCCGAACTCMAGATTGATTTYAAMCTATTTGACTACAATTTGGAGRAAAACMGAGTAAAAAYTAAGCCAAAAGACAGSGATTACCGAAAAATAATTTTGGGTCAAAAACTTTTCAAAACTTCTTTGTGTTTTCTGTGTTCTTCGAAAATGGGGAGGATAAAGTCTGAACAACTWTATAAATTTTGATTCAAGCTCGATGAATATTCTGAAAAAATGTGGTTTTCACGTTKCTCTTTTATATAWGTAAAATATGTTTCATTACAGTTTTGCACTTCGATTTCTGAAGATTTCGTCTTCACTTTTTGTAAATTTATTGCTCTGTTATTGTAGTTTTTGGCGTCCGTATTCTCATTTTACTCACTTCCTTTCAAAACGGGTTTTCCAGGTTTTTCTGATTTTGCTACTTTCATCAACATCCACAAGTCAATAAAAAGGATAATAAATAAATGGGAAAATAAGTTGCAGTCCGTCAAGTGTACAAAGTCAAGATTGCCTTCAATCTCTTTGACTACAATTTGTAGAAAAACTGTCTAAAAATTGAGCCAAGAAAAACTCCAAAGCATTTTCGCTTTTCTGTTTCTATTGGCATTTTCTTTCATTAAGTGCGTCACACTTTCGGCGGATTTGTTCGAGAAAAGTTTACTTTTAGTTGGTTTAGATGCCAATAAATAATCAGCTGAAAATTTAGGACTGGTTTTTTAAAGAGTTCTAAAGAGTCAAAGATGTAAAACAGTTTTGCGGCAAAAAACGGCGATTTTCGGCTTTTTTAAAATAATTTTCGGTCATTCATTGATTCATTGAAATGAAGAAATTGAAGTTTCAAATGTCTTTGCATCTGCAAAAACTCACGCGTCCTCACTCATGTTCATGCACTGAAATGGAAAAAAATCGGTTAGAATTTCAGATTCGTCCAAACTAATGGAAAATCCTGTAAAGAAAGTGTAAAAGTTTTATGACTCCCATATAGTTTTCTCATAAACTCATTAATTGCGCGTCTAATCAAGTCTTCAGGCGTTTTCCCAGAACAATGATTTCCATGCAAGTTCATTCGGTTGTATGTGCCAGGCAGCTACTGCATGCAATGCACTTTGCTGCACAGTAAAAACCCTGAAAGCGCTATCATTTCCCTTCTCCCTAGGGTTTTCCGGCCGGGCTCCATTGTTCAATACAGTTTCCCGGTTAAAAATAACACTTCTTCCACTTTTAAAATTCTGTAAGTCTCTTCGGGCGTGCACTTAAACTCCACAGTCTTTTTCACAGAAACTCGTCTGAGATTTTCCGAATTCGGTTCAGAACTTCCTACGCCGCACGCTGTTGTCTTTTGATTTTTTTATGCAACTAACTGACCAATTTACCTTCGGTTGCAAACTTGTGCGTTTTCCCTCAATGTCTGGGATTGATCAGCGTAAATTCCCGTAGAATTGGCAACCATTGTAAGGCCGATAGAGCGCCGCTCTAATAAATAGCACCCGGTATACAGCTGTCCTAAATTCAATAACTTGAAAGATCAATATCGGACTGGGATGCTGCTACAAATTCAGCGTAATGAGCTCTATAAATTTCTACCTGTCCGAAGACAAGAAATAGAGAACCGGAAGACCGTATTGGAGTTTAGAGGTTGAGACGCAGCTGAAAAATTCACCCCCTATACAGGGCGAGGAGTTTGCCACCATTGGGAGCTCATTAGCGATCCATATCTGGCAGGGCTGTAAAAGTAATTAATTTTTCCCGTGCGACGTCCGTCTCCGCATACGAAAATCGCGATTCAATTTTCAATTCTTCCGCCATCAAGATTTCGCTTCTTCAAACAGTTAAACTGCTTTACTGTGGCGAACTTTTTCGGATAAAATGCTCCCGAAAGTAGTTTTCCAAACTTCGCCACAAAAGCAGCAATCTTTGTTTGGTATATCGGAATCGGGAAAACTGGCAGTTGTTGAATATTTCGCTGTTTGCACGCTTTTTGAGTTATAAAACACCCCATCTGTTCGCGCGATTCCCCGCATTCATGGGAAAAATGCTGAGTTTTACAAAGCCAATTTGGTGGGTTTTTTTGCTGTTTTTCCAGCGCTGGATACACCAAACACATTTCCGTTGCCACCTAATTAAACTACGGGCGGGACAAGGACAATATTTTCCTGACAGTTCTAAAGCACCTGGAAGAGCCCTCCAAACAGCCATCCTTAGTCACCACTAATTGCTATTCTCTAGCGTGTGTGTGCTTCTGTTTCAACAAGATTGTGTGCTTGTGTTTCGCGTTCTAATGGCGGAAAAGTCGTTAGTTTCTCGAGAACATCCAGCACGAAACGGAAAAAGTGAAACATCCATCGAAAAAGACGCGCTTGAAGACGGTTTTAGCTCCTATTGATTCCGGTCCGGCAGCTGCCGCTTCTTTTCCAAACACACACAAGAAGGTGAAATATTTTTCCTGGCGTGCTCCGAAACACTGGCAAGGCTTTTCCGCATTCCGGCCAGACAGTTTTCATATTGCTTACATTAGAGCCGGGCCCCCGTATATTGGAATATTTATGAAACTCAAAAGCGGACACACGAACTGTACGTAAAGTGGCTTTTCAACAGGCAATGGAAAATAGCTACTAATTCTCTTTAGAGGGCACGTTCTTTATCTGATAGCGGGGTCAGGAGTGGATTGGCGCAGGTTTCTTTCCTCAAAGTGGGTTTGAAGCTATTTGGAAACCTGAATTTGAGCCGAAACGTTGGGCGTTCAGGGTTTTAATTTAGTTTTAAGCGCGCCCTCCAAACCGAAGTTTGACTAGGAGATTTGCTGTTCAGTTTTCGCTACATTTATGCTGATTTATTTTCCTGACTGCGTACTTGTTATAATACTCTTATTTTTTCTGGGCCTCAGCCAAAGTGTGAAGTAAAAATTTTGAACATCGTTTATTTCATAAAGTTTCGGCGAGACAACAGCGCCATCATCAGATTTAAAATTTACACAAACTCATGATTGGTAAAAATCAACGTTCTTTTAGGTCTTTGATGAAAAGACCTAAAAGGTTTTGTTTGTTGTTGTTTTTCTATTTGAATTTTTACTTGTTCAGGATTTCGACATTAAGACGCTTTCATATTTTTTGGCGCTTTAGATTGACTTAGGAAGGCCGTAGCTTAAAAAAAAACAGTCTTAAATTTTCAGCTGATTATTTATTGGCATCTAAACCAACTAAAAGTAGATTTTAGAAAAAAACAATTTTTAGACGGTT